TCTTTTCTTACATTTTCATTTCATAGACATTTATTTATATGTTTCCCCAACTACACTAAGGAAAATATTAAGGAAAAATAACAGACTTCAAAGTTGATAAATACAGACGACTGTTCATGAAAGAGTCCATAGTTATATTACCTATTGTTCGAAGGTACTAAACATCACACAAAAAATACAACTAACAAATGCACACAATATTTAATTGATACATGTCAAAGCAAAAATTCTCATCAAAGATCTTACAGCAAAAGTAGAAAATAAAACTATTCTAAATCAAAATATTTTATTCACAGTTTCATATGTTTATAATATTGATTTATTGAATGATTCTTTTTCTAATATTGATTTACTGAATGATTTTTTTTTCTATTATGGAAAAATTGAGTGAACAATTTTAAAAACATACAAGATAAACTAGGTGTATTGACTCTTGAGAAATATAAAAATCAGCCAATCTTATGCAAAGTCAAGAGTTCTTAACGTGTGCAAGTGACACTCTCTGCACACGAGGCATCGGATTTAACGTTCCCGATCTGACCGGACGTGACTGCGTACTTGCACACCCCGCATATCCAAACGGACGCCACACTTTGGCAAAGGTTTTACTGCCGGTCGGAAGAGTGACCATATTTATATTTCCCATCCACCCTTGAGGGTTACAATCAATTAAAATAAAAATAATTTTTATTGTTTCAAGAATATGGGTTAATGAGTTGCATGAACAATTCTTGTAAAATAACAAGAGGCCGTCAGATTGACAGCAAACCGGATTTTCCTGCATGAAAATGATATTTGCAAATCTGGACCCGCAAACAGGATCAAGTAAAAAAAATAATATATTTTCGTAGGGTTCAGAAATAGAAAGGCCAAATCAATCTAAGTATCACTTTTCGCTACTTAAAGGTCTACAACTTTGTAATAAACGGGTACACATGTGTAATTATTTGCTTCATATTAACAACCTTTCTCTAACAATGAATAAACACATTAAGGAAACAATACAGACTTCAAGTTGATAAATACAGACGACTGTTCATGAGAGACATAGAAAAGCCCAGACTTATATTTTCTGATGTTCAAAGGTACTAAATATCACACAAAAATATTACTAATAAATGATCACACTATTAAATTGATACATGTCAAAGCAAAAAATCTTATCAAAGACTATACAGCAAAAGCAGAAAATAAACTACTATCAAAATATTTTATTCTGAATTTTTTTATGTTTCTTTTAGTGTTGATTTATTGAATAATTTTTTTTTTATTATGGATTAATTGAGTAAAAGTTTTTTTAAAACATATAAGGGAAACATTATCATGAACAAATATCAGTATAAAACTACACTTTGTTATTTTTTTTTATCTTACTTCATGAAAGAAATCCAATCTTACCAGGAGCAGAAACATAATATTAGAATATCATCCACTTGTGTGAGAATACGTCATATATAATTATGTTGCGGTTGTACCTCAGCAGCAGAATGGAAGTGATTGTTGTCCATTCACAATGTTTAACTTTAACCAGCCGTTTATTGTATAATCAAATGCAGGCCTTATTCAAGAATTGAATGGATATTTTTGTAATTTTATGGGGTGTTAAGCATTGACCAAAACACAATTTGTATGAAATGTGGAAGCGCTTCATACTTGTAACATGTATAATGTGTGCACAATCAACACTTATGTATTGCTATAAGTATAGCAGTTGTGCAATCATAAATAAAAATTATGGAAAATAGCAGTATCTACTGTTTAAACAGGATACATTATTATAGGTTAAGGTAACCAAAAAAAAACAAGTTATAGGGTTTATACAGTTTTGTATCTAAATACCAGATTCAAGTTTACAATATTAAACAAACTGCAATAGCATATATATTTGGTTAAAATTGTTTATTATTAACTATACTTTTGTCCTTCGTTTCACATTTTTATGGCCCAAATTGATGGGATGTCCTTACGGGCACAGGTTTACATTACATTAAGATGAATTTAGTAGTGTTTTATAAATTGAACAAAAAAATGTGCCTTATTACAATTAACAACCATGATATATGAATGAACAAAAAATGTGCCTTATTACAATTAACAACCATGATATATGAATGAACAAACAAATGCAGGTTATGTAAAGATTTCTTCTGCATATCCACAAACCCTCTTTTGGAAAATCAGGTAACAAAAATTAATGTCAGTTTGTTCAACTACAGTAAGTTTTTTAACTGGTATTGGGTTATTTGAGGTATTTCCATGGACAATCTGTTTCATTATATTAAAATTAGGTAGAACAATGTTCATCAACGATTCCAAACCATAAATATATAAAAATTGGGCAAATAAAGGCAACAGTAGTATACCGCTGTTAAATAGTCATAAATCGATTAAGCGAAAACAAATCCGGGTCACAAAAGCAAGTGTGATGAAATCCCATGGTAACATTTTACACATAATTTTTACTTGAAAAGTAAAACCGTGTTCACATTGAGCTAAACTGTGATGTGTAAGTGTACTCAACACTTAAACTAAGATCTATTACGTTCCCATTACTATATAGTTTAAAACAGGCTTTGACTTCATGTAGTCAATAGTCAATGTAGACCTTGTGTGGGGTAAGTGTACGTAGAACTAGATATTAAGAACGTGGACTTTATTATTAATATTTAAGGAAGTTACATTATTGAAAACAAATTATTATAATAATATTATGAATTAAGTTATTTACCTATTTATTATACAAAAACTCAAAAATTGCTCAGTTAAAAACATGATTAAATCCAATAGCCTTAGTGGACTATTTGATTTTCAGTGGGAGGCGGATTGTTAACTCATAGAATATTCATTTAACATTGGTTGATAGTACGGCTTATTTATCTAGCGCGATAATTATTTTTAACTTTTTGCACACAACTTTATCATGCATTGTAGGACAAAATATTTCTCTTTATAATGCCTTGGACAAGATTATTTTTACAGTTATTTCCAGTCCAAACTGTTCATTTCAAAAAATAATCCCATGGGTGTCTGGTGAAAAGAAATTTGGTCATTTAGGTCTTCTTCTAATCCGCCGTAAAACCCTTTTCAAATTAAGGTGTGTGTTTGGCTGTGCAGGATGAACTAGTACTCAGCCACGTCTGGTCGGAATGCAAACATTAAATCCGATGCCTCGTGAAGAGAGTGCCTCGCTCTCTGCACATTAACAACACTTGCAACAACTCTTTGAGGGGTCCGTAGGTTGCCTGTTTCAAGGCAAAGTTTCAGTTCCTCTCCAATTTGTTGTCATTTTCCAATGGCAGTCCAAATTGCCAAGATCTTCATCTCGGACTGACTCTATTACAGGACTTACCTATTGCATTTATTGTTCATTTGTTCTCGTCCTTAAAGTGCATGGAATATTTGCCACTGGAAGTTAAGCAACTAACAATCAATGAATCATTTTCAAAATCTTATTTTCGCCTTTTGTTACGCTGTTTTATCCTGTGTAATCGTGACATCTTTAGAACTCTCAAAATTCTCCAAATCAATAGAACGTTTTTCTTAATGTACCGATCATTCATCGTCGTGGTACAAACCATTTTTGTTATTCATCGGACTGTCGGACAAATCCGGTGAATAATGGATCGGTCTGGTAAAATTTTGTTCAATTCCGGTGTTGTTTACCGTCCGTTTTTTTTTTTTATTATCGTATTTCCGGTAGAATACTACTTCCGTTGTATTTTTATATGAAAGGATAACATGCTTGGATTATTAAAATATACGGAAGGAGCCATTCCTGGTTAAGCTGCAAAAAAAGAAAATAACGGACGATGAAAGGAAAGAAAAAAAGCAAAGTATATGAGACACACAGACCATCACGGAAATTGAATAAAAAATGGCAAGAAAATCGACCGTGGCTGAAGTTTGAAAATGACACAATGACTTGCTCTGTCTGTGTAGATTACTATAGCAAGTGGCCTACGGGGGCAAAACATTTTTTCACTGATGTGCCTTGTCAGTTAGAATCATATGTAAAGTAATTGGAGTTATTATAATGGTAATAATATTCCTGAAATGCAATCAAGCAATTGTGCACAATTTTCATCAAAATATCCACTCTTGTCACATGATTTTGTTGTCGTGCATTTTGGAGAGGAGTAGGGCACAACAAGTCATAAGTTGTTTTTTTTTGTCGGATAATATACAATGAGATGTAAAAAAAATTGGTCTCATAAAGTTTCATTTGGTCTGGTAAAGCTAGGTTGTTTACCAGACCGAATGTCCTGTAAAAATAAAATTCATTCGTGTAGTCTGTTAATAATAAAAAAAAAAACCAACCATTTTTTTCAGTAACATACAGGAAAATTTTTAGTATTCCCATGCCCTCTATTTTCAATGGAATCGAACGATTTTTCTCATTTCCCTCCTAAAACAAAAATTTTATCGTTAAAAAAAGATTGAATTGTCTACCCCCTTCCTCACCTTAAAAAAAAAGGTTAATAAATAAAAATGAATTGGTCATTTACAGGTAATTAAAACCGATGTACAGATGTATAAATTTATTGTGAAAACAGTGTTCCTTACATGAAACTAATTGTAAACAGGTTTACATTACGCGACGTTAGGTGTGAACACGGCCTAAGTAGTGCTATAATTTAAATAAGAGTTTAATAAATCATTATACTTGAAACATATCTTCCAATACTTAATATTTCTACATAATATTTCGATGAGACTAATTATAGGAATGAGGCAGATTTTACAATTAAAAGGAAGTATTGTTTTTTTGTATTCATCAAAAAAGGAATTGCTGAAACTGTGAAACAGAGTGTGAAATGAAGTAATGCATTATGTTATTTAATAAAAGGTGTCTTTCTGAGTAAATAAAAATAAAAATCACCCTGTGTTTATGTTTTTTGTTAGAACTAGTGGGTTTTCAATTTCAAAATATTGGACATTGAATAGACATTGTGACCTACTTGACTGACATCTAGCTTATTTGGAGTGGAAGTATTATTCATAAGTGGAGCCTAATAACATGGACTTATATTTTAATAAAAAGTTTTCTTTTGTGTTTTAATTATAATTTTAAGGCACATTTTTATTGGTAAAGACTAAAAAAGGTAATTTGATAATATTATTGCGAACGTCACATCTTTTTCGTCCATTGTGGTATGTTACAATCGCAATTTTCTTGTTGGTTCTCAGACGGCCCATTGTTATTTTTAACTCGGGTTTTATAAATAATTGATATAAATAGCAATCACATTAAATTTTGATGACGAAAGGGGGTCAAAGGACTTTCGGAATCAATATCATTGGCTGTTTTAGTTTTTGCGAACGTTACTGCTCTACGTTTCCGTCCAAATCAATGTCACGTGAGCAATATATATTTAGATCTGTAACTCTCCTGTATAGGAGTTACGATATCGCCCTTTGCAGAAATGGATGCGGAGCCGGTTTCCTCACATAATGGGAAAGCAAAGAAGGTAAGTTGTCTGTTATATCGTTACACGAGGTCCTTTATTGTATTCCGTCCATCAAAAAGACATTCGCAACAAAACGTTGAATCAAGTAATGTCATTTAAATGTCACATTAAGAAACTTTTGTTGTGGTTTTTCATCTCCCAACGAGATTTGACCATATTTTACGTACAGTTGAGTCTTCTAGTTCATCAAAATACATTTCTTTAAATAATTTGATGCGAACGGTATAAGGTGGACAGATTTTTATGTAGCGATCGTTACTTTGGGACAGTAATTGTTGATGTGATGTTATATAAGAAAATTAAAACCGCCTAATACATAGTAATGAGGGGGGTAGGTCCTTTATTGGGATTCCGGGATCGGGTGTTTTTAAGCTCGGGATTTCGGGATTGATCCTTTCGAGATCCGGGAATTCTTTTTTCGAATTTCGGGATGTCGGGATTAAAGTTTTTTTAAATTTGGGACCTCGGGATTCCATGTTTTTAAGCCCGGGATTTCGGGATCAGGACCCCTCCTACCCCCCTCAGTAATGAAGGGGCGCTCATTACTATATATATTTGAAGGTAATATTCTTTTTCCTTTTCGAAGAGCTTCATACCACATCTTCTATTTTTATAATAACAACTTAGTTCATTAATTGCCAAAATTAGTCCAGTTCTTAAAATTGTCAAAATTGGCATAAAAGTCATTGCTCACAGACAAATTTACCAAATGGTAAACATACATTTGATTTTCAGGCTTATCTTAGCATAATCTCGGGTAATCATTAAAAGAAGATGGTAACTTGAACTGTTCTAGCTACAATTAATGACGACAACATATCTTTAATTACCATATATACTGAAAGCATTCGGCAAAAAATTATGTCTTGATTGAAGTAAATTTGAAGGCAGTACTTCAATACATTTTAAAAATTTTAATAGTCGTTCATTTTTTAAATTATATTCATATACCAGTAATATTTTCAATTTATTTTCTTTCAGATGAAGTCCTCCAGAACTAACACCTCCAGAACTAACAGAGACGATAAATTTTTCAAACATTAAAATATTTTTAAGCTTCTAGGCAGTATTTTAGACTTTTGAATGCAAATGCATCATGAATTAAATGGGCAAAGCAAGGTGTTCTGAAGACTACAAAAGACTTTCTTCACCACAATCCATGGTGAAAGTCATTGAGGCATTGATCACTATGGTATTTCCATCTTCACTGCGAATTGATTTGAAATTGTTCATTCTTCTGTTGTTTGATTTTAACTTGCCAGACATTACATGGGCATTTTGGCTTGTGCTTCATAAATAATCCATATCCCCCTTTCTGTTTTGAGTGCCAAAGGTTGCAGGTTCAATCCCCAGCCAGATAAAATAAGACATTAAAATTGGTCTTTGCTGCTTCTCATCCAAGCCGACAGCATTTAGGAGCAAAAGCAAGGTCAGCTTACAGAGGCAACAGAGTGTGTATAATGTGTCTTTGTGGAAAATCCTGCTAAGCGTGTCGGTCTAGTACAAAGCAGAGATCATATTACATCAACTTGTTCTCGTCCTGATGTGCACATACTAGTTTGACACTGGACCTTAAACAATAATTAATCCATCCATCCATAAAATCTGGTGTGTCAGTCTGGTACAAAGAACAGTTCTTATTGCATTTGGTACTCATATCATATCAACATCTCAGTTCAGGACTAAAGATATGAACAGATCTAGAAGAATCATTCAGTTACATCTTAAAACTTTTTCGATAAAGATATCATGAATCTTATTTTTCACCTCCTGTTACAATTTTGGCCCCATTTAGTGCGACCCATCTAGATAGCAAATTTTCTTAATGTATTACTGAAGAAGATGTTGCTAATGTTACTATTACAAATTGGTTTCTTGTGTATTCATTTGATACAAAGTACACCTGCCAATGACATTCTGTATATTTAGATATTCTAAACCAGACTGTACAATTTAATTACTCAAAGCATTTATAAAGCACGACTGTGTGCATACATTTTATTTTTTAAAGATGCTGTTGCTAATGTGACATGTCCAAATGTCGCTAACGTTACTCATTTTTGTCTCCGTCACATTAGCAACAGCCTTAATTCAAAACATGTTTTCTTTCAAGAATCTGGCACAAATTAAACTAGTAAAAAGTAAATATTGGCAACACATGCAACTTTATACTTATTCAATTCTTTTTACTGTGTATTAGATGTCATTTACTTTGAAAAACATAAACTTTTTGTCCCATTTTCCATATGTCACATGTCCATCATCTTGAACATATTTTTTTTCCACTAATATATTAGAAATAGTAATGTGTAAGATGCTGAATATCTTCCTAAATCCTTTACCTTTCAGAATTTATTTTGGTTTTATTGCTGGTTAAAGGCTTTAAACCAAAATTAATGAAAATTTGGTCCAGGGTGCAAAAGGAGAAAATGTGGGTATCCCTGTTTCCTTGGCAACCATTCAATAATCTCTTACATTATTTACTCCTTTTTTGAAGAATTATGATCTACTGATAATAAATTTTCAGAAAATATAATTTTTTTTCGTGTAATGCCTTCTTTAATTATTTATCATGGAAGTAGGAGGCAGAACACAATACTGTAAAATCTGCCATGATTAAAGAAAACATAAGAAAAGAATAAATTTATTCTCCACTATGTCCAGAAAAAGCAAGACAGCAAACATAAACAAACATCCTAGAGTTGACATTTCGTCTTATTTCTTGCTTTTAGTACTGTTTTATCGACACCTTGCTAACACTACCAATTTTGCAGTAAAAAAAGCAAACATGATTTTCATCAATGTGTTCACCATGATATGAGATCAATTTACTAAAAAAAATCACTCACAAGCAACGTACAAATACTAGATTCTATATTAGAGAATAGAGTGAGAGGTGTACTGAAATTTGGGGGTCTCTAAACTATTGATTTCAATAGGTTTTAGCGCTGAGTTTGAGGATTTAGCTCTTTCCTTTGTGATATATGCCAAATAAGCTATAAACGCAAGAGCAGCTTCAGTAAGCATATGATTGTAAAGCATGCGATATAAAATTTACAACCATAATAGACGATTTCACAAAGGAGGTAATCGTAAAGTATCGGGACCGCATCATGACTACAGCACAAATGCCAACAGTTTGCCATTAAAAAAAAACAAAATTTGCCGTGGATGAGCAAATAGCATCCGGCTCCTTGATTAATAACAACAGTTATTACCTATCATCAGAGATCAATAGTCGAAACAACTCTGCCCAAGATTGGACAATCAGATATTATTTACCAAGCCAGCACGGTTAAAATTTGGACTTCATAGATAAATTCTTGGGAGGGTATCCTTTCCAACTTGAACGTAGGTGAGGGCACACACCATTTACACATCAACATCGGTGACGATGGATTGCCATACAACCCTACCGAAATGAACTGGAGGATAAAATATCCGGTAACAGATAACCTGATCCGTCGGATATTATTCATCAACGGATCACAGTCAGACATTATAAAGGAGACCAAAAACATAATTACACCATTCAGCCTTTGAAGAAGGTCCATTAAGGACCAAAACCGGTCAGGCTATAATCATCATCAGGCACTGTTAGTTAGGTGCAACGGCATATATTTTCGAGTATATTATACTTGATTCTATATTAGTAAAGCAAGCTTAAACTGTCTTATTTCAGAAAAATGACGATTCAAAAGATGGAAATGAATTTAGAATGAAGCTGAAAGACTTTAAACATAAGGAAGACAACTACATCAGAAGGAAATTCAAAGAAACGAATTTAGGATTCCAACAATCAATGTAGAACTGTAATTTTTTCATTCAATAATAAAGACTTTTGAAGATTCATTTTCAACATGTGAGCTTTTTTTCGGATTCATTATTCATTATATATCTGTTGCTTGCGCATTGTTATTTTTGCACGAAAATGTATTCCCCCTTTGGTTCAAAATTAATTCCTTTATATTATGTGGCGGATTATTCATTTGTATTTGTCTTAGGCAAAATCAATTATTTTCAGTTCTTACTAGAGTGTCTGGCATTACGGTAATGTTGCCTGGCATTAAGGTAATAACAATCAATCAATCAAAGAGTTCTCAACAGGAAAAAACCAGGATTTCATTTTTAAAATCATTCTGACAACTCCCCCAAAAGAAAATCAAATACTAGTAGTCGTCCCCTAATGGCAGTTTCATAAATTGATCGAGGGCTATCCTACGCTCTGCATGTTACACGTATGACCAGACTGAATATTCATTATGAATCATTAGAACTATACAATCTCTGGATATATGTGCTTTGTAACCGCATTTTTAAAGGAAAAATGATTATTAATTTGGTGATGTACGGCGGCTGGGCGGGCGGCTGCCAAACAGTGTCCATGCAAGAACTAAAAAACGCTTTGACAAAAATCTTTTCAAATTAAGATATGTTGTTTCCTGTGACTAAATGAAGGTCAAGTATGATTTTCACGATTTCAGTTGAGTTATTTCAAAAACTGACAAGAGCTCTGCGGTGAAAAACAGATCCAGTTTTACCCATGCAGGCCGCGAAAAATTGTGTTTTTAGTCGATTCATTCCTTTTCAAACAATGCAACTTCTTCGTGACCAAATAATTATGTGATGATATCTGATGATGCCTTATTGATTCATTTCAAAATATGAAATATTGCATATAACTGCCATGTAAGGGTAGAGGAATAATGTTCATTATTTGGTTGTGGTTCATGGCTATATCAGGTGAACACTTTAGCTCTTCAGGTAATTGTTAACATATATTTATAGAAAATATCCTTCTTTTTTTAATGAGCAGAAACAGGATTTTCATCCCGGACAAGAAGACATCAGATGCTGTCATTAGATATACCAGTAAGGAAGACAAAGAAGATTTTGATTTTAAAGTCTTTGGTCTCAAGTATCACCAAATTTTGTCCAGCGCTAGTTTAATTGTTTTTCAAAATAAAAAATGCCCGAATCATTTTGTTCTTGTTTGGTAAATTGTTTTCACAGGAACTCTGAAGAAACTCTACTATACAGAGATGTATTAGGCCTTTTAAAATTGTTTCCTGGATGTTTGGGCAGTATCATAAAAGTAACAATAAAATTTTTATTGTAAATTTAATTGTACTTTTAGGATAATTAAGGCAATTATTAAAGAAAGATACCTGAACTCTCTATAAGAGCAATGTATTCAAGAGAAAATCCAGACAACCAAGGACGATAACTCTATCTCTAAAATGTATTACCTGTATGAAGAAATACATTATAGTATACGTGTACAAATATTACCCTTACTGACTCGAATTAAATGACATTAAACATTAACAAAAATTTAAACAACCAGCAATTATATGACTATAAATAGCTAATACTTCTAAAAGTAAAAAAAAATCCCATTTTATTTCAAATATTTGTTTTACGACCTTTTTTTTTATTGATTGGCAGTTCCGTGTACTACATTAATAAACTACTGGTCAATGCAGAAATACAAATTATAATCCTTAGGAATGTAACCAAAGTACAACACTATAAGGGATATAGAATATATAAAAGTACGTATCCATTCTATCATAGAACAGTCTGATATTCAATAAAGTTAGCATTTTAAATATTTTGTATCATATATGTCATGCATGTTCTGTGATTATTTTCATTATTGAAAGGTAAATATTATGTCAGAAAGCTTCATTTATTTTAAGTTTTCTTCTTTTTTCTTATGATATCTATGTGGAACAAGAAGGTGCCAAAAATTGATGCAATAGTATAAATATATACTGTGAAATGTTTTCTTTATGGTTCTTAATAATCACAATAAGCAGCACTTATTTTATTAAACTTTACTGTGGGTAAAAAGTATGTGGGCTGTCTCATTGATACATGCATGGTACCTAGGGAGAGTACTTTGATAATAAGGTAACCATTGTTGTGCCACGATTATTTACAGTAACATTTTTAGCATTAATTTCATTCGTATTTCCCGGCGTATATTTTAGAGAACAGCTGATTTTAGACAGTGACCCAGATTTATTTATTCAGGTATTTTAGCACACACTGCAATTCTATTCACATATATTGTAATTTATTAATAACTATAATTAGTAATGATATTAGCTTTTAATAAAGCTGCTTTTATTTATTTAAACAAGTCTTATTTCTTGATTATCCAAAGTTTGGACTTCAAAACAGTTTTATTACTTTGACTTTATAATTGATATTTGTATAATATCTGCCAACAATTTACCATTACGGTTGGCGCTTCAATTGGTAGCAGCGGTAAAAGAACAATTTAAAAAAAAGGAGGGAAAAAAGTAATCAACATACAAATCAGCTTATATTGCAAAGTGTGGTTTACTTATAATATTATTGAACACCAAGAGTTATTGAAATTCAAGGTGTATTTTTTCCATATAAATTATTGATCACCAAGAGTTATTGAAATTCAAGGTGTATTTTTTCTATATAAATTATTGAGCACTAAGAGTTATTGAAACTCAAGGTGTATTTTTCCATATAAATTATTGAGCACTAAGAGTTATTGAAACTCAAGGTGTATTTTTCCATATAAATTATTGAACACTAAGAGTTATTAAAACTCTAGGTGTATTTTTTCCATATAAATTATTGAGCACTGAGAGTTATTGAAACTCAAGGTGTATTTTTTCCATATAAATTATTGAGCACTAAGAGTTATTGAAACTCGAGGTGTATTTTTCCATATAAATTATTGAGCACTAAAAGTTACTGAAACTCAAGGTG